CAGCGAAGACACAGTGCCAACGACGACACTGGCCACCGAAGACCTGCCAGAGTAACGACAAAGGCCAGAAGGTTCCTTGCACTAAAGCCCGGTCCAATGGCGAAGTCCACTTTGACACAACCGACGTAAGAAAAAAGAAATCTGCGAAGACTTAGGAAAGTGAAGATTATCTTTAGGAAATATGTCTAGCCGACTTAGGGAGCTATATATATCAATGTACAAACCCTTATAAAAGGGATCGGCAACTTTATTCACAAAAGCATATACAGCAATAACAAACGTTTCTCTTTGCTCATCGTTTCTTTCGTACCTTAACCTAGAAATCTTTGTTTCCTCACGAACCCCTTATAAATCTAATTGTGCTAGTTTCGACTCCCACAATAAGTATGGTCGAACCACATCGACCGCCTCTTAGTTCGTTACCTATAACATTCGTAAAAATTTCGGTTCAACAGTCAAAAGACTAAAAAAGAATCAGTTTTGAAACATTTTGAGTTATGCTTACCTTATCCCAAGGGTCGTCCGATGCTAAGATCAAGAACTCGAATTCTGGTTTAATCCGTTGTGTTCTGGTCTCCGGTTCAGCTATTACCCATTTCTTGAGATACCGGTCTCCAATTGCTCGTGAGACAGTTAATCCTCTATATATTAAGAGAGGAGACACTAGGTGAAAAATCATGTGTCATCTAAAGAGAATTTTAAGGAACTCATTTCCTAATACAAACTAGATTTATGTATGACAAACAACCAATGTTTGTAGATACAAAATAAAATAAAATAATTTTTTGATTTAGTATTAATACTGTTGAAAGCATGAAGTGATTATCAATCACTTTGATATCGATAATTACCATTTAAAATATATTTGCTTAAACTTTGTTACACATTTATATATATGATCATTAGATAAATCATATTATCTAAATAACTAATTACGATTTTTAAGATAAAATTTATCAATCATTTTCTAATTAGTCTTTGTAGTATGATTACTTATCAATTTTTTTTTTGTCATTTATCTTTGTCTCGTGAGTTTATATATATTTTTATTTTTGTTCATCGTAGAGAATTATTTGAGATTTTATGATTATATTTTTTAAACGTTATTCTTTCCTAAGAGGTTGAAAAAAAGGAGTTAAGATCATTTTTAAGTTAAATGTTTGGTTAAAAAAATAAAGTTGGATTAAATGTAAGATTTATTTTTATTGAGCTAAAAACCTTTTAATAAAAAAAAATCTTTCATATTTCATGAAATATATAGATTTTAAAAATACTATTAAAAATCTGAGAAATTTCAAAAAATGCCACTTTTCAAGTGCCACTTTACAAAAATTCCATATTTTTACAATTTTTGCAAAAATACCACTTTTTAAAAATTATTTATTCATTATATCATTTATGTTTGGGTTAACTATGTTGTATTAGAGTTTAGTTTTGAGGGTTTATGGGTTTTAGGGGTCAAAAGATTTTTTAGGGTTTAGAATTTTAAGATTTAGGCTCTAAAAATCATAATTAGT